AAGAATAAGAAATAGAAAAATAAGATAAATCGGATAAGTGGATAATGATAATAAACAAATAATAAATCGATAACATTGGATCAACAATGGAAGCAAAGAACAACACAATTTGCAACAAAATCAAATTACGGATAACAACAACAACAAATGCTAAAAGGATAAAAGAAATTTGAGATAAAACAACAATAACAAATAATAATAAACAAAACAGGTACAGACCCTCCCCCCCCCACGCCCTCCACCCCCCCCTTCAAACAGCGATATCCCGCGTGACAGTGATTCAGGACAGAAGTAATTGACCAAGCCACGGTTTCCGGAACACCGGCCGCGGCGAAGACCCAGGGCAAGATAAGAATGCGTGTTTGTCGAGTGTTTGCTTATGAAACGAAAAGGCGTCTCGATGCGTACAACATGGCTAGAAAAAGACCATTAACCTTCGCGTGGCGTTGAATTTTAAGTTTTGTTGTTGTTTGTCTTTTTCTCTTTCGCAGATTCGCTTCGGGATGTTTTTGTTTTATTATTTCTATTAAAAAGTGTGTTTTGTGTTCTTTTTTCTTGTGTGTTTTCTTTCATTTTCAGTGTTATTGCTTTTCTTTTTCCTTTTTTTTTAGGATTCTTAATTACTTGTTCGTTCTTTAATTATGTAATATTTGTCGATTTTTCTATTTCTTTTTTTCTAATTCTAATATCCCTCTTTCCATTTCTATGTATACTTCGATTTTCCCTTGCCTCTTGCCATCTAATAGGACATACCTCAGCAAGTATGGCTTACTCATCTTAATATTCTACTCGTATGAGTAAGAGGATTGAGGGGATTCAGATGAATTCTATTGTGAGCGGTCAGGGTATATCTATATGTGTACTATTGGTCTCAGTGTGTGTGTGAAGATATACGTAGAAGTTATTGTGACTCGACAGCCTAGTGGCGTATAGAGTTTTACTCTATATGGAATCAGATCCATCAGTCACGGAGTATAACTGTTTAGGTCCTGTTTAGTCTTCTGTTCGTATGGTTCGTATAGTACACTTGTCTAGAGCTTGATACTCGAGAGTGCTCAATCTCTCGTACATTTCCTACCGTCGAGTTCACTCCTCTCTCTCTCTCTCGAAATCGCATTCTCACTCTCATCTCTCGTCCTCTCTCTCTCTCTCTCTCTCTTCTTCTCAGTCCTCTCTCTCGTCTCTCTCTCTCTCTCTCTCTCTGTCTCTCCTCTCTCTCTCTGTGAGTATCTCGTAGCTTCTGTCTAAACTCTCTCTCTCTCCTCTCTCCGACAGTTCCGTCCTCTGCTCCTCTCGCTCTCCTCTCTCTCTCTCTCTCTCCTCTCTCGTTCTACTTTCTCTCTCTCTACTCTCTCTTCTCTCTCTCTCTGTCGTTCTGGTTGTGCTCTCCTCCGTCGTTCTCTCTCCCTTCTCTCGCCCCTGCTCGTCTCCTCTCCTCCGTGTTTCTGTTCTCGTCTGTCCGTCTCTCTCCCTCTCTCTCTCTCTCCTTCTCTCTTCCTCTCTCCCTCTCTCTCTCAAGCTCAGCTCTCTCTCTCATCACTTCCTCTCTCTCTCTCTCTCTCTCTCTCCTCTCTCTCTGTCCTCTCTCTCCTCTCTCTCTCTCTCTCTCTCGTCTCTCCTCTCTGAGAGTCTGCGCACTCGACAATACTCTCTCTCTCTCTCGTCTCTCCTCTCAGTCTCTCTCTCTCCGTCTCTCTCTCTCTGCCTGTCTGATCTGTCCCTCTCCTCTTCTTCCTTCTCTTTTCTCTCTTTCCTAAATTCTCTATCTTGTATATCATGTCCTGTCCTGTCTATCTGTCTTATCTCTCTTGTTCTTTTTCTCTCTGTCTCTTTCTCTTTTTCTCTCTCTCTTTCCCTATCTCTTATCTGTATTCTGTATAATTCTGTCTGTCCAACGTCTCTCTCCCGTCTCTCCTCCTCTACTGCTCTCCTCCTCTCTCTCATCTCTCCGTTCTCTACTCTCGTCCACTTTCCGTCTCGTCATTTCATCTCATCATCATCTCTCAACTCTCTCCTTCTCTTCTCTCTCTCCTCTCTCTCTTCACTCTATTCCACACTTACTACAAAAAGAAGTTGAAAATAAAATCTTTATTTCTGCTTTTCTTCTTCATTTCGTTAATTCTTTTTCTATTCGTTTATAATCGTTTTTTTTTTCTCCTTTGCCTTTTCTTGCTGTTTTCTTCTTGATGCTCCTCTCTTAATTAGAATATCATACCTTGCCTGACGAACCAATGATAATAACAAAGTAACAAGCAATATGATGAATTTATAATTACAAATTTACTTATGTCATCACAATCGTTTATTGTTGTATCATTAGTGTTGTTATAATTATTATCATATATAAATTGTATTATCATAAAAAACAGAGGAAACATAAAATAAATATCCATGATAGTACTGATGATTTTGGTTGTGAATTCATCGATAAACAACCCTGATATATGATTGTTTGATAATGATAATGCCTGATAAGTAATGAGTGAAATGTAAACAGTATAAATGAAATAATCTGATCAATCACTGGATTATTAAATATATAGATAATAGTAACACAAACAATCAATAATAATAACAAATAATGATAGTAATAATGACAATAACAAAACAATGGATCATGATAATGATAATAATAAGTAATGATAGAGAATAGATGATCGGTATACGATAACTAATATGATAACAATAATATATCAATAATAATGATAATAAGTAATAAATAATGATAATGATAATAATAATAATAATAATAATGATAACAATAATAATAATGATAATGATACTGATAATGATAATGATAATGATACTGAAATTAACGATAACAAATAAATGATACACAAATGTGATGACCAACAGAATAATGATAATTGATAAAGAAATAATAATGATAATAATAACAACTAATCATATATACGACTATTTGATTATATCGAATAATAAAATGATGTAATAATAACAATAGCAATAATAATAATAATAAACAATAACAATAAAAAAAAAGATAAAAACAGCCAGAACATTTTCCGCTAAAACCCGCCGCTAAAAATCTTAAGAACTTTAGGGACGAAAAAGGCCAACCAGAAATGCACCATCGAATGGTTTCTTCCGCTGCAAAATAAACCTTGGCGGGACCGAAGACGCGGGTTACCCGTTGGCTTTAACCGATAGCATTTTTAAAATGATAATACAAACGGCCCCGGGTTCCTTGTCCCCTCGCCATATGCGGGTTCAGGTTTGTGTGTGTATTGTGAAGGGGAAGAGGGGAGGAGGGGTGGCTGGCCGTGGGGGTGGGGGTGGGGGGGGGATAAAAGCCTGCTTTCGAGTGCCTGGAGAGAAAGGTGGGGTTTTGGCGTATTGGGAGATATCCTGGGTTCGAGTAGTGTGAGTTTTGTTAATGGGGTTGTTGATTCTTTTATTTGGGAGGGGAGGGAGAAGAGTAGGGGAAGGGGGAGAGCGGGGGAGGGGGAAGGGTTGGTAGGTGTTTGTTGATTTTATATTGGATAATTAAGAGTTTTGTATTTGTTCTTGTGGTTTTGCTTTTTATTGTTAATATTTATCGTTCATTTTTTTTTTTGTTCTTTACTTTTCTCCGGCTATTATATCTCTGCCTGTCTGTCTCTCTCTTTCTTTAATCTCTCTCTCCTCTGTCTCTGTCTTCACTGTCTGCCTCTCTCTGTTCTGTCCTGCCTGACTGTTACCTGTCTGTCTCTCTCTGTCTGCCTGTCTGTCTGTCTCTTCTCTCAATCCTCTTCACTCTTTTCTCTCTCTTAAATCTCTTCTATCTATCTCATTATCTCTCTTATCATCTCTCTCTCTCTCTTCAACTCCTCTCTCTCTCTCATCTCTCTCATCTCTCTCTCTCTCTCTCTCTCTCACTATCTCTATCTCTATCTATTCTATCTATCTATCTATCTATCTATCTATCTCCTCCTTCCCCTTTCGTTTTCCTCTATTTCGTCCTCTCTCTCTTCTCACGTATCCCCTCTTCTGCATTATTACCCATTAATCTTAATTCCCTTCCTCCCCACCTATCTCCCATTCACATCTTCCTTTCGTTGATGTCTAAAGTGCCGTCTCTTTGCTATAAAAGTTCTCCACCAGTTCTCTAATGCCTTCTCCTCTGTTCGCCAGTACAGGATGTTGATTGTCTGATCTTCAATCTCTATTCAGAAAAAAAGTGTTACTTAATTGTGCTTTTACTGTTACTGTACCTTTGCCGTCACTTATAAACTGTTAAGGTAACTGAGTTCACTTACCTTTCGAAGGCAAGTAGCAGGAGTCGATCGATTCTTCGCCCGGGAGGACTTTCTTTTCCTTTTTTTTTCTTCCTCTTCACTTCCCTTGCTCTGTGTCTGTGTCTGGGGCTCCCTTCTCACTCTTGCTCTGTCTTGTGTCTGGGGCTCCCTTCCTCACTCCCCTTGCTCTGTGTCTGTGTCTGGGGCTCCCTTCCTCACTCCCCTTGCTCTGTGTCCGTGTCTGGGCTTCCCTTCCTCACTCCCCTTGCTCTGTGTCTGGGGCTCCCTTCCTCACTCCATTTGTCTGTATCTGTGCTGGGGCTCCCTTCACTCCCCTTGCTCATGTGTCTGTGTTTGGGGAGCTCCCTTCCTCACTCCCCTTGCTCTGTGTCCGTGTCTGGGGCTCCCTTCCTCACTCCCTTTGCTCTGCGTCCGTGTCTGGGGCTCCCTTCCTTACTCCCTTTGCTCTGCGTCCGTGGTCTGGGGCTCCCTTCCTCACTCCCCTTGCTCTGTGTCCGTGTCTGGGGCTCCCTTCCTCACTCCCCTTGCTCTGTGTCTGGGGCTCCCTTCCTCACTCCCTTTGCTCTGTGTCCGTGTCTGGGGCTCCCTTCCTCACTCCCTTGCTCTGTCCGTGTCTGGGGCTCCCTCCTCACTCCTTTGCTCTGTGTCTGGGCTCCCTTCCTCACTCCCTTGCTCTGTTCCGTGTCCCTTCCCCGCCCCCCTCCCTCCTCCCCGAGCGTCTCCAGTCTGCCCTCTCTCCCGCAG